GGGGCTGGCTGGCATGTGGTGCTGGGGGATTGAACCGCGGTCCATGTGCTTTGCTAAGCTTATTCTAAGTAGGTGCTTTAGATCACTAAGCCATCTCGCCAGCCCTACGTAGATAAAAAATTTAATTAAAATATACATATTGCTAGATCTTAGAAACAGCATATATGACCGTTAACAGATGAATGGATAAAAAAATGTATCTATACACAACAAAGTATTACTTTGCCACAAAGAAAGGTGTTCATAAGCAAATGGGTGGAACTTAAGAACATCATGTCAAATGAAATAGGTCAGATGCACAAATTTAATATTACATGGTTCCTCCTATATGAGAAACTCAAAAACTATACATATCAAAATAGGTGACTGATAGATAGGAAGTAGGGAGAAGTTCAAATAGCTCCCCAAATGATCTAGTATGCTATTTCAAAACTATTTTAAGATAAATACAGTTTGTTTCATTTATACTAGTTGTTGTTTCTTGTTTGTTGAAAACAAAGTTTTATCCTTTGTTTCTTTCTTAAGAGAGTCTTTCTTATGACTTGTAGTCTAGTAACATTTTTATTGTTCTTTTAAGATCATAATACACAGTATATTAACTATTGTTATTCTCTATTTTATTATGAAATTTTGTTTTTATAGAAGCAGTATTTTGATATTTTCATTAATATCTACCTGTATTACATTAAAATAAAATTTTAAAAGATTTAAAAGATATACACAGAAACAATAAAAATAACATTTTTTACTAATTTAAAAATTAAGTTTTCTGATGTTCTAGGCTAGTTATGTTTCTAAAGATTACATATGAAATTTTAAATCAAATTTCAGCTAGATGTGGTGGCTTATGTCCATAATCCTAGCACTTAGGAAACAGGCTGGAGGGCTGAATGCAAGTTCGAGGCCAGCCTAGAGTATATAGTGTGTTCCAAGCCAGCCTGAACTACAAGGCAATACCCTGTCTCAAAACCAAACCAAACCAAACCAAACCAAAACAAAATTTCAGAATCACATTTAAATGCACTCATTTTATAAATGGCTTGCTAAAAATTTAAAGAGCCTACATGTTGATTCTTTAGTAAAAGAAAGAATCTAGTAGGGCTACTTTGTGCACAAGACCTAGATTCAATATCTGGGGTGGTGGAGTGAGAGGTGAGAGGGTGCTAGAGCAAAAATGGGACGAGAAGGGGGATGGGACTGGGAAGGCAACATGTTGCTAAATTTATAAAGCTTGATCATCAACTGCATGGTCGCATGATAATGAGAAATCTGGAGAGCAGGAATCTAATTATTTATATTGGATGTGGCAAGTGTTGGAAAACCAAAAAGACAAGCAAACAGAAACACTGCCTAAGTTTGGACGTTTGGCAGAATTCTTTGGGCCAAAGCTGGGACTAGATCTGTCCCTGCCTTTCCATACTTATGTAGGCTGAGTTGTAATAAAAGATCATCTTAGATTTATATTATTTCTTTTTCAAACATTCTTTTTTTCCTCTTTACTAGCAAAGTAAGACCTAGTAGAGTTCATGCTCTTTTGCATTTTTGTCCTTTACAAACCCAATAAAGACCAGAAAGGTCGTAACTCAAACCCTTTACGTTTGTATGAAATACGCTTGACAAATTAGGAAAGTAGGGCTGGCCAAATAGTTCAGTGGATTAAAGCGCCTGCAAGCAGGCACAGGGGCCAGGGGTTTGATCCCTGGGCCTGCCATGCCAGCCCCAACACTGGGGCATGCTGATAGGGCAATTGCAATTTAGACTGGGCGTGGTGGTGCGTGCCTGTAATCCAGCTCTTGGGAAGCTGTAAAGAGGCGGATTACTACAAGTCCCATTTAGTAGTGAGTCCCTGAACACCCCGTAGATCCTTCCCTGAAAAATAGAAAAACAAACCAAAAAAACCCAAAAAACAAATTAGGAAACTAACACAGAAACTAAGAGCCTTATCCAAGAATAAGGTCAGGCCAGGAATAGAAAGAAACCAAATATCCTCTTCCACATGTGAAGAATGATTTGACTTCCGCTGAGTCCTT